CCCTTCCAACTCCTAACATTCTGTGATTCTAACTTTTTAGCAGTTTCTGGGCTCTCATATCATTAAAAAGACACATAGGGAAGCCCTTATTACAGGAGTTTTATGTAAGTAAAGTAGTTTCTTCCTGAGTTGTTCCCCGCCTCCCCTTTTATTAGGAAAAGAGAAGCTAAAGTCTGTTGTTCTATTTCCTTGCTTTTGTAAGAGCCACAGAGTTAGCTGTAATTTTTCCACCAGGAAGGAAGAGGTGGGTGCATGCATAGTACACATGTATGCATTCAAGCATTATGCAGACCAGCCCAGGCCACATGCTCTAACTGGCATGCATGATCACAACTAATATTGAACATTCAGCCATTGCCTAATGGGCCACAGGCAGAGCAGACTCCTGTTGACCAAACGCGCCAACAAAACTACTCCTGCAGTAAAAATGTCACCGTGTTACACCACTCTGACCGATGGCACGGTCTGAACCAAGGTCTCTGGTAGAGAGTGCTCGTGCAAGTGCATGGCCTCCTCCTGATGTCAGTATAAAGATCTGGCTGATTTGGCAGAGCCATTGTTGAGCTTTATGTGTCTCCCTTTTCATGTAGATGTCTTAACACAGTGCCAGAAGAGCAGAGCAGATTACAAGCCATAGCTTCATGTCTGCATTTCAGGCTCCTATTTATATTCAACACAATATATGGTTTTTCATATGCTGCCAAGAAATCAAGTTTGGGAAAAAAGGGCACAAGAACTTTTCATCTGCAAGTCAGTTTGAATAACAACTTGTTAAAAAAGAACTTTGAAATGTAAATAGTAGGTTTTGCGAAGTCTATTAATAGTTTCAGTACCTTCGCTGCTCCGTGGCTCGGTATTACAGATGTTTCTGCCTAAGCTTGCTCCTTGGGAGGGAGAAAGCCAGTTGTGCTTCCCCAATGTCCCAAATGGCACAGCACAGACTCCCTTCTCCACTGCAGCACAGGCTGAAATGCTGATCTCATGTTTGGTCTTTTGACAAATTTTCATTTAATGAATTGATTCCTACAGTTCATTAACATACCCACTTCCACTTCTGTATACACATATGTCTTAATTAGCTGCTCATTGGCTGTTTAATTACAAGAAAACAGCTGACAGCTGCCTTGCTGCATCATAATGGCAGACATTTTGGAATGACTGTATGCAAGCCTGTGACAACAAAGGCTTATTCAGAATCCTATGATTTATGACTAATACTTAAAGACTTCCACGTATCATTAAGTTTTGCAATATTCACAGCAATTAACAATTAGTAGGGGGAGGTGTTTTCTAAAGCAAATTCACAAATTTTATTCTAAGAAACATCAGGAAAATACACTGTCTTATCACAGAATCACAGAATGTCAGGAGTTGGAAGGGACCTCAAAAGCTCATCCAGTCCAACCCCCCTGCCAGAGCAGGATCACCAGACCAGGTCACACAGGAACACGGCCAGGCAGGTTTTGAATGTCTGCAGAGAAGGAGACTCCACAACCTCTCTGGGCAGCCTGGGCCATGCTCTGGCACCCTCACAGGGAAAAAGTTTTTCCTTATGTTTATAACCATTGATGAGGTCACCCCTCAGTCTCCTCTTCTCCAAGCTAAACAGACCCAGCTCCCTCAGCTGCTCCTCATAAGGGAGATGTTCCACTCCCTCCATCATCTTTGTGGCTCTGTACTGGACTCTTTCAAGCAGTTCCTGTCCTTCTTGAACTGAGGGGCCCAGAACTGGACACAATATTCCAGATGTGGTCTCAGCAGGGCAGAGCAGAGGGGAAGGAGAACCTCTCTGACCCACTCACCACACCCCTTCTCATACACCCCAGGATGCCATGGGCCTTCTTGGCCACAAGGGCACATTGCTGGCTCATGGTCATCCTGCTGGCCACCAACACCCCCAGGTCCTTTTCTGCCTGGCAGCTCCAGCCACTCGTCCCCAAGCCTGTAGCGTCCATGGGGTTATTGTGACCCAAGTGCAGGACCCGGCACTTGGCCTTGTTGAAGCTCATCCAGTTGGCCTCAGCCCATGGATTCAGCCTGTCCAGGTCCCTCTGCAGAGCCTTCCTACCCTCAGGCAGATCAACACTCCCTCCCAACTCAGTGTCATCTGCAAACTTGCTGAGAAAACTCAGAAATAAATGACAACAATATAGGAGAACTTTGAGAGTGAAAAACCCTGAGTTTAACTTCATTATTAATTCAATCCCAAATCTCATATATTTGTATTTCTAAACTCTGGACAAGTTTAGATTAATTTCTGAAGTTTGAGGCAACATTGTTTTGGGTTTTTTTGTTTAGCTACTGCTGATGTTTGTAACATTTTAGGGTTTGTTTTTAAAGCACTCTACCACATCTCTGGTTTGTGCAAGTGCTTTTAAAGGTCACAGTTTCAGGCAGTTCTGCTCTATTGAAAATTTAGCCTCAAGCTGTAACTTAGCTGATATATTGTACAGTAATATGTATTGAGCAGCTGTGTCTCTAGAGAAAATCTGGAAAAGCAAAAAGCCTACTATTTTCTCCATTATATTACTAAAAATAATCCTCAGCTTGACAAGAATATTCTTAATAAAGAGAAATATGCCAATACAGACTCAGTATATGTCCTAGCTAAAGGAAAATGTACAGATGTTTGAGGTTATTGGGCCAGGTTCAGTTTACATATTGATTAAGCTGATTTTCTTAGTGGTGGCAGATGATTTCATACCGTTTATGTGTACACACATGCAACTGTTAAAGTGTTGGAGAACTGAAATTCAAAGGGCTAATGCAGAGATGCAGAACCTTCGTTAGTAAGTCACTGGTGGGACAGGTCAATGCCTAATCCTGGTTTTCCAGTGAATCACATTGCATTTGCATGCATACTCGCACTGGAGTGACAGGCTCCACTAAGGGTGCTAACAGAACTGGAAATTAACCTGTCTTCTTACCTAAGAGTTGCTTCTTCCAGAGAGTTCAGCCATGATGTTGGAATAGCAGAAATTTCTGTGGTATTTCAGGTTTTCTTTAGGGTGAAATGCACTCGATCAGAGCTCAATATGTGCAGTAGCTTCAGTCTCAGTGATGTTTATCTCACTACTGGCTAAGATTAAAAAGCAGTTGAAAGTTCAATCATACAGAAACAAAGACCAGAATAAATGGGTGAGAAACAGTGAACAGAAAAACAGGATTAAAGACAGGCATCTTCAGTTTCCTCATTTTTTTATACTCCATGTTTCTCCATTAGAGCTTTAATAAAAGGGGCACACTTCACAAAGGCTGGTGCCCTCCTCATCAGATGGAGTGAGGGGCTTTATCTCAGTGTTGTATTACGTTTGTGTCTGCAGGAAGTTTGCTTGGAAGTCTCTTACTTGTCATGCAGAAGTCCCTGCTGTTGTTCATTTCACCAAGTGTCTGGACAGAGTGTGCATGTGCCAAGAGGGACTCCAGAATGTGGCCTTGGAGTAAATAAAAAATTGGTACAAGGCCATCTTTAATTAAAAGGTGCCCAGCCTTTTCAAGGAATTATTTTCTTTGCAGCACTGCTAATTAATCCATTATGTGGCAACATAAAACTAAAATACTGTGCTCAGTGATCTCAAATGCCTCTTTAGAATGACTACATCTTCGCAGAATCCTTGTGAAGTAGGTATTACACACACACCAGCCCGTGTTTGGACAGTCTGGCAAAAAGACGACATGAACTTCAAAGCAAACAGCTGCCATAGTGGTGAAGAGCATGCACCATTCTGAGGGAGAGCGCTACGCTGTAACTGCTCCATAACCTTGCATACACTCCCGCACTAACTTGCTTTGGAGATGGGTCTGCCCACTGCAGTTGACTCAGAAAAGAGATAATACATAAAATGATTCAGCTTCCCCTTCCTTAACAATATAAATCCTGTGTCGAGTTCGACAAAACCTCACTTGTCAGCATCAAACTGATTAAGAAATGATTCAGCTTCCCCTTCCTTAACAATATCAATCCTGTGTCGAGTTCGACAAAACCTCAGTTGTCAGCCTCAAGCTAAGTAAGAAAAAAACATTTTTAAAACATTGTTCTTTGTAGAAGGAACTGCTCAGCATCATGTTGAGCAGAACTGGGTAGCAGGTGTTGCATCCTCCCTGTTTTGGAGATCTATGCTGACGCAGGATAGAAAATCAAGGAAATCTAGGTCTGTAATTAGTTTTATCCCATTTGGAAAGAATCCGTGTACCACATGCAATATGGGAGCTGTAAAATTGGTGAAAAAAAGTGTAATTCCTTTGTGTTATAACACTTTTTCATTAGCCGTTTCCCACTAGTTTCTAGTTTTTGTTTATTTCTAGAAGACAAAAAAAAAACAACAAAAAAACCAACCTCTTAACTTCCTTTTGCTGACTAGTGCACTTCATTTTGCAGGATAGAAAATCAAGGAAATCTAGGTCTGTAATTAGTTTTATCCCATTTGGAAAGAATCCGTGTACCACATGCAATATGGGAGCTGTAAAATTGGTGAAAAAAAGTGTAATTCCTTTGTGTTATAACACTTTTTTATTAGCTGTTTCCCACTAGTTTCTAGTTTTTGTTTATTTCTAGGAGACAAAAAAAAAAAACCCAACCTTTTAACTTCCTTTCGCTGACTAGTGCGCTTCATTTTCTGTTAGGTATGCTGCCTTTCAGAGTCTTTATTTGCACCATCAGTTAACAGTGTTTTTGCAATTGTGTTCCAGGGCTTTTTCAGAAGGAGTCAGCAAAGCAATGCTACCTACTCCTGTCCTCGCCAGAAGAACTGTTTGATCGACCGAACTAGCCGAAACCGCTGCCAACACTGTCGACTACAGAAATGCCTTGCTGTGGGGATGTCTCGAGATGGTAAGATGTGCGAACACGTAGCTTAATTGCAAAAAGTAAAATAATGTTCAGTATACGGTGTGTTTAACTAAAACAACGCAGGATTAAAAAGTTCATTGTGTATTGGCCTGATAGTTGGGATCATGGAGTGGTTTTTATATGTTGCTATATATTCACATAAATATCTATAAATCAGGACATGTATGAAGTTACTGGATTTTTTTTTCCTACTTATCTGTTATAGTTCCCTGTTAAAAGCTCTGTCTCTGGTCACTTGTTGAAGATGCAGGGTTTAGATGTCAATACTTTCTCTGCATGTTCATTCCAGTTTAGTGACCTACTAAAGCTGCAGCTAACACTCTGATTGCCATGTTGGTACAGATCAGAACTGTTTCACAATACGTAAAGTATAAAAGTGTGTATAATGAATAATGGAAAAAGTGCAAAGAGAAAATAGTGCAGTGTTTTTGCAAATACAGAATTCTGAAGAAAATGTGCTCCAGTACTGTTCTTACTGAGCTCAAAATTGCACCTAGCGTAATGACGAAAACCCACCTCTGTAAAATGGAAGCTTATGTAACTCGATTAGAACTGGATTTGCAGCTGATACTTGCACACCTCCCCCATAGATGTAATGAATCTGCCATCGCTTCCTCAGTGTGAAGATCTGACTCAGTCCTTTCCCCTGCAATAGTTAGAGCAATGCTCCATGTTGTACAAATATGCACACATTACTCATATGTACGTGAGGCCTGATTAAGGAGATCATTTTCAGATTACGTTTACTTCTTGAATTACATTGTCTTCTTTTTTTCATTGGGCATGAAACTAAAAACCTAAAACGGTTGATCAGGTAATGACTAGTCCCTCCAACATGTTTGCTTTTCTCTAGAAGAGTACAAGGTGGTAGTCATCTTCCTAAACGGTGAGGCTTTTACAGCTGATACAGGTCCCAGGAATCACTTACCATGTTCTTAGAAATTCCCTGGATGTGCCAAACCAGTTGCTTCTGGCTTATGCTTAATAGTAATAATTCTCAGAGTAGTAATAATTTTGTGGAGATATATATATGTGTGTGTGTATATATATACACACACACACGTGCATGCATGCACACAAACACATAGAGTTTTAACAATAAATCACCAGGTAAACATTTTTGCTCGTACAGCAAGCTGCACTGAAAGCAGGTTCTGTGGTTCTTCCCATGTGCTTTGGTCCTAATATCAATAAAGCTTCCTTTTGATACTCTCTGAGCTAGACCCCACATGTTTATTATACCTAACTCCAGGTTCATCTGTAGTAGGAAGTGGACAGTTCATCTGCGGCCAGCATATTCTGGTTTGGCTTCTACTTTTCCAGGTAGGATTTGAATGCTGAAGAGATGCATCTGTCAACTTCTGTGGATATGTAAGAGAAAATCTTTTCAGTATGTGGAAAGTTAACAAATTAAGCTATAACAGTGACTTCTAATGGTCCACTTAAGGGGCATGTTAAAACGGTCTTTTTTTGAAGAGCAGATGCTGCAGCTATGTTGCCTGTAACTGACCAAAGTGATTCTTAGGTCTGCCCACCCTGCTTATTTAACTTTTATACTGTGACCTTCCATGTAGTATTTAAAGATCCAAGCCAAATAAAAGGCAGTAGTGGGTTTGTAGAAATGTAATATATTGTGTGTCTGTGTTTCAGCTGTAAAGTTTGGTCGAATGTCAAAAAAGCAGAGGGACAGCCTGTATGCGGAGGTGCAGAAACATCGAATGCAGCAGCAGCAGCGAGATCAGCAGCAGCAACCAGGAGAGGCAGAACCACTAACACCAACATACAATATCACCACCAATGGGTTAACAGAGCTACACGATGACCTCAGTAATTACATTGATGGGCATACCCCTGAAGGTAGCAAAGCAGACTCTGCAGTTAGCAGCTTCTACTTAGACATACAGCCTTCTCCAGATCAGTCGGGTCTTGATATTAATGGAATCAAACCAGAACCAATATGTGACTACACACCAGCATCGGGCTTCTTCCCTTACTGTTCTTTTACAAATGGGGAGACCTCTCCAACTGTGTCCATGGCAGAATTAGGTAATGAGAGAGAAAAGCTTCCATTATAATTGTCTTAATAGTACCCTTTGGATTAAAGTGTCACATTTAGCCAGGTGACAGCGAGAATGCTGCTTCGGTACAGCTGTGAGCGTGTATGGGCATTCTTCTGTGAAGTGCACAATGCCCTAATGGAGGTACCCAGTGAACACCTCACAGGAGCTTGTGGCTGATCAGCTCTAGTAGTGTTGCTTTTGTTCTCAGTCCTTATAATAGAACCCTTATAATCAGAATACTGATTAACAAGCTAATTTTTAGTGCTGAGCAAACAGAGTGTTTCTTTATTTGCAGACTATTTTTGAACATTTTATCTTTTTTCATTACCTCAGTACTCTCCTTTTCTAACAAAAAGTGATGAGGTTGATTTTCCTCTGCTCTTTACCTGTGAAACCTGAAGCCAAAGCACCAGTGTAATCTGAGGGCAGTTCTCTGCCACTGGAGAGAATCTGGACTCTGATATTTTAGAAAATCTTTAAATGTAGCCAGTTTTTGATAATTTCCATAAGAGCCTTATAATGACCACATTAATTAGCGTATTTTACTTTTAAACTCTGCCCTGAAGAGTTACATGAGGCCTGAATTCCACGACTCTGACTTGTCAACATCTGAGACCCAAGTTAAGAGCGTGCTGTGTGAACGGGTTATAAGCAAACTGGAACAGGACGTCAGAGATTTTAAGATTCTATTACTTCTGTAAGCAGTCAGGCGTTTAAAAGAGCGATTTCGCTTGCCTAACCAACACTTTTGTGAATTATTCCATTATGAAAACCTAAAGATAGTTTGGAAATTCAGGTAATACAATTTAAATGTTTCTCTTTTTGCTAACTTTTTTTACTTAGAGACAAGTATGCGATACGAAATTTTGCTTGTTGTATTTTTGTTTACATTCTTTTGAGAAATTTTGCAGACAGAGACAAGGAGGCTTATTGTTAATGCTTTTACGTTGCAGGATCAGTTCCCTGCAATGTAATACGTTGCAACAGCCAAAATACTATTTTTGGCTTGAGTTCAAATAACTACAATTACAGATAAGTAAAAATGAGAAGAAAAAAATATAATAAAGGCTATGCTACCAGCTTTGTCTCTGTCAAATGGTTGTTAATATTCTTGTGGGTGTTATTCAAAATCTACATTAAACCCACAGAAAAAAGAAAGGGCTTTTCCTTCTTAGGCCAGGTATTGAGTTCGGAACACTAGCCTGAAATAAGTTTGTCATGTTGCTTACCTTTATTTAAATAGTGCTTGCATTTAAACCCTACAGAGCATGATTTGGGTACCCAGCATTGATATTGCCAAACCAAGTCTGAAGAATGTTTGTCTCCCAGACTGAGGTTTCGATTTAGAAAGGTGTGGCTGTTCAATGGAAGTATTTAGGTGCGTGCTGAAATACAGTCCAGAACTGAGGCCAAGGTTTGTGAATAACACAGTAATATTTCAGCTTCTATATCTTGCAAGGGCACTGGTGCAATGATGGCAGTTGCTACTTGTGAAAGGACGGGTTTTAAGTACACGCTTGAAAAACAATTGAAAAAAATTGTTCTGAAATACATGAAAACTCTGATGACAACCGAAGTATAAACTACCTTATAGTCTATGTTATTGATTGCTCAGGTAGCACATATCAGCTGATTTTACCTCAGCTGTATGTTAAAGATTTCTCAGATAATATCTTACCTCAGGCTATCAAGGCAGTGTTGTACTAAATGGACTGAGTGGTTCAGCAACTCAATTTGTAAAGAGTTGGGTTTGGTCATCACTATACAAAGCAAGTTTCACAGAAGACCAAACACTGCAGTCCCTCAGAATATCCCCATGTTGTTAGTGACCACCTTTCTTGTTCATTTTAAGCCTTTCCAGTGGCCTAACATGCAAAAGCACCGACTGCAGAACTGTGGCCTCTGCTTGTCACAGGCTAAAACGGGAGAACAGACGCGTGTAGAGTCAGGGCAGAAAAGAGAAAGACACAGTAGAAGTGGAGTTCAGATGTCCAAGTGCTATTTGTGCTTTTGAAGGTCTTCCTAAATGTGTATGGAATCAAGTTTTATTAATCTGCCTTATGGGTCTTCAAGCAAGTATAACAGCAGAAAATAGTTTACCTGGAATTAAAATGTTGTATGGAAAGAAAAGAGAAGAAACTTACCCCTCACAGGCAGCCTTATTTGACAGCATCCAGCTTGACAGAACGCTAGCCAGGTGTAACTATCTGTATTCTGTAATTAGGAAGCTTCTGCTGTGAAAAACACCAATGAAGTTAGCTTTTGAAGATCTACTGCCTGGATGGCAGCACTGTTATATTCCCTATACGTGACATAGTGTCCTCTGTTCTGCAAGCCTGTCCCCACGGAGGTTAGATTACCCTAACTTGAGGGTGTCCGTCACCTCACTCACTCGGATTTTTTTCTAAGGCTCTACTCAATGGTGTAATTCTCAGCCCAGGTTTCAAAGCTGACTTTACCTTTCTGAAGGCAGCAAGGCTACTTAGTGAGTCTGCAGTGGTTTGAATGCTCCCAGGTTTCACCTGGGATTTGCCTTTATTTTGCAAGATTCTCGATCTGGCAAGCCTTCTTTTGCACTCACTGCTGTGTGAGGAAGAAGTCTGTCCCCAGCAGGAGTCAGTTTATTCAAAAATCACCGCCAGTTCACTTAAACCCCTGACAAGGTAGCGCAGGACTCTGCTTGGTGTTCTGCAGGAAAGCCTCGGACCCGCGCGGTGAACGGGGGGGGGG